ACTTTTGCCCTTAGGTCAACACCTTAACCAAGGTTCCATGCCTATAAATTGTAAACTCTCTCTATATGAGAGAGCATCTCTTTACCTCTAGAGAGTCATCTTTGTATCTTTACACCTTTTGAGATCTATCTACACTTCTCTACACACCCCACACATAGTTTTTCTCTCTCATAGCTATTGTATCTCTCCCAGAGCTAACCATTACTCTCTATCTCTCGTTCACCTTACTTAATCAATAAATGTCCCACGGCCACTGTTGTCGTTTCCCGAAGTGGAGTAGATTATCCAGACTCACCTACTATATATCTGTGTGTCGACCAAATATTTACTTTTTTGCCAATGATTGGTTTATTAATTGTCTCAATAATTCTCTTGCATCATTCACTCGATTGTTGATTTTACATAAGACTATTTTATTTATTATCACTATACATTTAGAATCGTAGTATTTTTTGTATCTCTTTATTCCGCTGTGTCAGATAAGCAATAGATCAAAAATCCTATGATTGTTCTGACTCTCCTTATCTTGGCCTGCTGGATCAAAATTTTGAAAAATGGGAATGCATCATCCTTTTCCTCAGCTCCACAAAATGACACGAACCACCAGTTACTTCATTCGAATACTTTGAACCCCTTGAGGAAAAGAGAGTTGTAGTGAAAACCACCTTAAGAACCTGGTAGGCAAGGAATCCTTGAATAGCAAACAAGCCTTATAGGATACTTCATGGATAAGAAGCTACCCTTCTCTACTGTAAACTTCCTTGCTCACAAAACGTGGGATAGCCAAGGACTTTTTGGAAGTCTTGGCTAATGACAGTAGATTTTATTTTTTTCAAGTTCATGAACGATGAAACAAAGAACAAAATACTTGAATATGGACTTTGGTTGCTCTCAAAGGCATCCTAACATAAACCTTACCAAGCAAGAACACAGCACAGTCCCTCTCTGGATCAAAATATATAATATTCCTCTCCAATGCTGGAGTGAAGAGGACTGAGTTATACAGCAAGAGCAATAGGAAGACCTTTGTACACAAAAACACCCACAGCAAGGAAAAAGAGATAGAGCTATGCATAGATCTGTGTAGAGGTCGGTGCTAATGAACAACTGATTGAAAGCTTTGACCTCAAAATGGACAATAAAGGGGAAACAGAGAGAGTGGAACTCATTGTGGAATACCCATGAAGACCAAAACTTTGTGAAACATGCAAAGTTTCTACTTTCTAGGCATGGTGTTGCAAGTTGCTCGAGGATTGTTCACACCAAAGTCTTGAAATCTTTAACCCCAAGAGTCAATCACATACCATAGATAAGGGTCAGCTTGTAACCTCAACAGTTGTGGTTCTTGAACCTACAACTGTAGCCTCAACAAACAATTACTCTACCCTGTTTGAACCACTTACCTTAGTATGCTCTGAAAACTGCGCTGAGGACCTAGAAAATAAAGATTGGCACAAATAATCCACATCAAAATGACTCTATAGTTACTAAAATCATGATAGCAGAGATGATGAATCCTGTGGTGGACTTAGTTCCAAACTCAGCTCAAAAGGAATTTCAAGATACTACATCTTAGGAACCCATTGCTAAGAACTCAAACACTCATGACAAGCAAGCATCGCAAAATAAGAAAAAAGTGAAAAAGGTCTCTAACCAAGGTAAACCAATGGTCACTAAGCTCCCTGTTCTCAAAAAAAAAAAATCTCCCTTCTTAAATGAAATAGCTTGCTGGTACATTAGAGGAGTGAACAAACCCTCTAGGCAATTACTAATGTTTTAAAATTACTGTTTTTTTCTCTACATACATACCTTGCGCTCAATATTTCCATGGCTTTTGGTTTAATCAAGTTTTGATGTTTTACCCATGCCCGACTCGAGTACTATTTTTCCTGAGTTATGTTTGAGTTGACTTGCCTGAGGAACACTCTTTATCACGGGACTTGAAGTCCATGGCACCCGAGTAACTTTGGCAATTAAAAAATCAGATGTACCAGCACTAGGCTCCCTACATAGTCATGTGAAAATAATGGTAAATATACAATTCCTTTGTTAAAATTTTGAATAAAGTACAGTAACACCCTTGTAGATTACTATAATTATAGAGCAACTCCTGTATTATCTAAAATATCACTGTTTTCCCTTTAACTTATATGTTTTTTAGCAATAACCTCATGCCTGAAGACACTCTGTAATACTAAGAATTAAACATTGATCTCGTAATATTTATATTTAAATAGTATTTTATTTTTATTTTTATTTTCTTTAATTACATAATTTAAAATTAATGTGAATAAAGAAAAATAAGAGGAAGGTCGGTGTGAATTAATGAAGTTGTTTAACATTAGGGAGTATGTAGATTGAATTGTTTGAGATTGGGACCGTTTAGAAAAGATGATGTTTTCAAGCAAAAAAATAATTTTGGGATAAATTTTGTAACACTAGATTTAAAAATAAAAAAAAAAACTCGAATTAATCTTGACCATTGTATTATTATATGTTGAAAACTTAATTTCCCAGCTGTAATATTAAACAGAGTTCACTTAATATCCCTATAGTTAGTATTGTTACTGATAGTTAAAAAGTTCTTATGTCTGCAAAAATAAATTGTAATTCCAACTGCACAGTCCCACCGAACTAATTTAACACTCAAACACCAAATATCTCCCACACCAACATCCAAACACCCTTCTTTCTTATCCTTTCTTTTTTGTTTTTTGTATTTTTTTTTAATTCTCTCACACCCAACAGTCACAAAAAACCCATCACCACTAGCCCTAATCATCACTTCCATGCACCCGTAGCCCACAGCCACCAGAGTCTCTACCAAAAACAATGCAAATTTAAACTGTTGAAAAGTACATCGCAATTTCTGGCCAATCACACTAATGAAAACCCAACCAGATCCGATCACAACTAATATCAATATCAATTCAACTACATGTCCGAAAAGAAACAAACACTTCCAACATAAATTCATTAGTGTAGGGAAAAAATCACAATTCACCTAAAGAATTTTTTTACTCGATTATACACTAGGGATCGTATGCTAGACCTACGGGTGAATAGGTTAATTTCAATTAGGCTTGTACAGACACCAATTTTAATCTAATTCTACCACAATTCGTAACGTCTCAAAATCCACAATAGTCATTTTGACTATTTATCAACCATTAAGCCAAGAGAGTATACTAAATTAAACATTAATTTAATAAAACCATCAATCTTCAATAAATAACTAAACCAATCCCAATAAAACATCAGTAACTTCTTAAAAGTACATCCTAAAACCATAATAGTATCTTGCAATTAACCAATAAGGGAATATTTATAAATATTATCTAATAACTGAACTTCAGAAATTTAAACTAGAAAGACACTCTCTAAGCCTCAACATCCAGATTCACATCTTGATCTGTTGTCACCTCAAAGTCAGCCTGCTCACCTAAAGTTATATCTTCTTTGAATCTAAAATTTAAAAAATATATGTCGTAGGATGAGCAATAATTCCAATAGGAAGACATTCTTAAACCCAAACTAGGTTTAGAAATCATAAAAACAAGTCTTAGTTATAAAATAACATATATTGTTTTGAGATAAAACAGTGACATTTAGTAACGATATCAAGTTTATGGTACAAAATAGTAGAGTTCATAATAAGATAGAATAAAATAAATAAATAAATAAAATAATAAGATAGAATCATTCACAAACCAAAACTCGTAACGCAATTTCACATGGACGTAAGTTGACTAGCATGAATTGGCACACCAAACATATCTGGTCCACACTACGCCACAATCACAAATAATTCAATCAATTATGGGTGGCAATCGTGTCGTGTCCAGGTCGTGTCATGTCGGGTTCGGGTTGAAAACACATCAACCCAAACACGACCTGCGAGTTAAACGGGTTAGATCATTTGGACACGAATACGACCTGACTCGAAACACGATTAACCCGACATGACCTGTGACCCGAGATTTACACAGGTCGTGTTCGGGTAAACACGACCCAACTTGCCTAACACGACCCAACCGACACGAATCAACCCGACATGACATAACAAAAAAAGGAAAATTTTAGACATGTTACAAATATCCCAAATGCAAATCTACATAAAACAAAGGCTAAAACATCACAAACATCTCAAAAACAAATACAAATCTCCATAATATTACAAATATTAAAAAAAATTACTAAAATCCCCAAGCAATATTACAAGTATCTTTCAAATTCTCTTCATCTCTTAAATCTGGCCAACATCAACAATCAAGATCCACTATCCCCTATAAAAAACCCACATAAAAAGAGTTAGGTTTTATGACTCAATACACATCAACAAACACATAAGATTGAGAAAAAGAGTTTAAGTTTTATGACTCACACACATCAGCAATCAAAATCCACAATCACATTTGAACATTACACTGATGCATCCTCCTCATTTTTGTTTAAAGTCGGATTTATAACATCTTCTATCAGCTCTTCCAATTACACTTGTGAATTTTTTAAATGACAATAAGGAAAACATATAAATAAGAATTTAATATTTGTAAGAATAATTAAATATCGCAATCATCACAAATTATATTTATTACCTTTTTTCTGCACATTACCAATCTCTAGTGCACATCAAGACCTCCACAACATGGGGCTTCAAAGCACTACGGTATTGGTCAAGAACCCGACCACCAATACTAAAAGCTAATTTTGAAGCAACCGTAGAAATTGGAATAGTTAACATATCACGGGCCATCATAGCAAGTTCCGGATAACGATACTGATGAGCTCTCCAATAATCAAGAACAAGAAGTTTTGTTTCTATGTCAACCCTAGGCTCATCAAAATACAATTGCAATTGACTTTTTTGTGTTTTAAGACCAGATGCATTGCTCTCCATGACAAATGCCTACATTATCAAAATCACAGACTTTCAAATAATAGATTATCAATAGTATTAATCTAATACAATAAAAACTATAAAACAAAAAATTAAATACCTTCAACTCTAACACATGTAGTGGATCACAAGCAACTAGACCACCACGAGGAACAGTCGATGCTTGAGAAGAAGAGGTGACAACAGATTTGCTCATACACTCATCAAATAGAGAAAAAAGTTTGTCTCGAACATGAAAATACTCAAGAGAGCCTTCACCATAAAGCTTCTTATAGCACCACTCCACAAAGTCAAGTTTATAGTGAGGATCAAACATAATTGCAATGACCAATATAACGCTATACTCCAACCAATACTTCTCAAATTTTCCATACATTTGACAAGACATTCTTCTCATAAAAGTATCCAAACTTTGCAGTTCTCTATTCAAAGTCAATTGAATACTGAAAACTTGTTGAAAATACAAGTTTGATGTGGGGTACTTGGAGCCAGAAAAGATAACAGTAGTATCATAGAATTTTTTTAAAAACATCTGAATCTTTTCAACTTTGATCCATTCCTCTTGAGATGGCAATGCTTAAAATTAGAATTCACAAGTTGCAAATGACAAAAGGCACAACGGTAGTAAATTGCACTTGCAAGCATCAAATATGTTGAGTTCCATCTAATAGGAACATCTTGCCTCAAACTTTTTTTGCTATCTAAAAATGTCTGTGCAACACACTCTAAGAATTTTGTTTTCTTGTTTGAGAACCTTTTACATACTTGACACTCTCTCTGACTTTTTCCACAGCTAAATCTACTTCTTTCAACCCTTCTTGCACAATCAAGTTTAGAATATGAGCACAACAACGAATATGAAAAAATCCACCATCACCAAGCAAAGCATCTATCAAATTAAGTTGATTCTTAAGCATATCAACCATGACATCATTTGCAGAAGCATTATCCAAAGTAATTGAATACAACTTTTTCTCAACCCCCATTTTGTCAACAAACTATAAATCTTGTCAGTCATTGCAATGCCACTGTGTGGAGGAGGCATGTAAGAGAAATTCAGAATTCTTTTTTGCATTATCCAATCTTTGTCGATGAAATATGCTGTGAGACTTAAATACCCATCGGTAGCAATATATTTCCACAAATCAGAAGTCAAACCAATCCTGTCAGGTACGTCATGCAAGATAACAGACAACCTAAGCATCTCTTTTGCATGCAATTTCGGAATATCAGCCTTAGCCGTGTTTCTTGTAATGAATTTGACATCTGAATTTAAGTAACTAAAGATTTGTCTAACACATTCATACTCACCGAATTGAAAGGGCAAATCATGTCTAATTATTGCACTTATTAACATCTCTCAAAATTTTTCCTCGTTAAACTTCAAAGACCGTGTAGTAATAGACTCTTGACTTTGACTTAAAATCATCTGGCCCACATCACATTGTTTCAAACAAGTCTTTAAATGACGCCATAAATTACCAGTCCCATAGTTACTAGCAACATTGTACTCAATCTTACATTTGTTGCATTGTGCCTTTAAAATATTGTCTTAATTTACATACTTTCTAAAAAACCCCCATACCTCTGATGTGGAAGTACGTTGTCGTTTTTCATCATTCGTATTATCTCCACTTTCTGTATCTGAGACAGCATTGGATGCATTCTCAATATTGACATCCACAGTCGGTTGAGTATATGATGTATCCTCCATTTTTCTGGCAAGATTATTTGTCAATTAGAAACCTAATGAACATTCAAAATACGGAAAGTAAGTCAAAAAACAAAAGAAATGCAGAGGACTATTTGATTTCAGTGAATATAAACAAAAGAAGAGCAGAAGTTTACACAATAAGGAGGTTGTACATAAAACATGGTGTTTCTCTAAGCATTAAAAAAATCTAAATAACCTTTCAGACTATCGGTAGTCAGCCTTGTTTCTTCCCCTCCTTTGAACCTGAACTCAGACATCATGTCTGAAAATCTACCAATAAGTGCATAAAATACTACTTTGTTTGGTGGAGATGCCAACCACTCTTCCTAAAACACCCAAACTAATGGCATCCTGATAGCAACCCACCAAAATGTCAGAAGACATTTGCGGGGTTGCAACCAAAGCTCAAAGAAAGACTTGCTAAAATACGAAAGACTTTGAATATCCCAACCAACTGCACGAAGGATTAGACTACTTAAATTTTGTGCTTACTCTATCTGAACTATGACACAACCAGGAAATGGTATGATTTGTTGTCACTAAATTTGCTTCATGATAGGGGAGTTCTGAACAATATTAAAAACTTAAATTCAACAGAGTTCCTACAAACATCATTTTAATGGTTCACAAAATCTGTGAGCATCACCTTTCTTATGTCTTGCACATTCAACACAGTGTTTCTCTAAGCATTAAAAAAATCTAAATTAGCCATCAGCATATTTGCACAAGGTGACAGCTATTAGAAACGTAATAGCCTAAATAAATGTAGTGACAACTGGTCGATCTTACCTGGTACCGTCGGACGGAGAAAGAGCAAGAGAAAGAACGAGTGAAAGAGCGAGAGAGAGAGAGAGATCTTACTTGGTACCGCCGGACCTACTGGTCACCGACGCCCACGCCAAGCTGAGACCGAGGGAAGGAGGGATCTCAAGGAATGAGGGAGGGAGGGAGGCGGGATGAAGGGAGGCGGGTCTGCTGGCTGCTGCTGGATAGAGAAAAGTAGAAAATAAAGGTAGGGTTTGAGAAATAGTAAATAAATTCTTTATATATAAATGGGTAATTTTGGGTCAAAACAGGTCAGTCGGGTTTGTGTCAACCCGATTAAATACACGGGTCAATTTGGGAAAATTCGGGTTAAACGGGTCGAACCCGAACATGTCCCATTAACACTCTGTGTTGACGGGTCGTATCATATACGGGTTGGATCAAAAATGTAGTCAACCCAAACCCATTTATTCGTGTCGTGTTCGTATCAAGTTATCATGTCGTGTCAAAAATTGTCACCCCTACAATCAATCCTTGCAAAGCCATAATACTTTAAAAATTATGTATACCAATGCATCATTAGTGACAATTCTTCCCAATACTAGTATACTTACCCCATCGCTGTGAACAAATAAAGCGGATTCTTGAACTTCGTAAGTTGTTGGGCAAAAATTTGAATATTTTGTCGAACATGATTTCACTCATATAACAAAGAATTATATGAGTTTTATTAAATGTAGGTTAGACCCATTGTATAGTATATATCCATTAATTATAATTTCTTGTTTCAAGAGAATACCCTTTGATTCTAACGAGAAATTATCACACTTTACCATTTACACCACAAGGGCATTTTATTTGTGATGGTGACTGAACCCAGGTTAATTGTCTAGGCTGCTCTATGTACCGGTTATCGAGATCAAACCGATTTGTAGTTTGGAGAGATTAAATTATTATTATTATTTTATTTGGATAAAATCAAAGGGTAGATGACTCATTGATCTTGAATGGACAAAGTATCCATTATGTTTGAAATGGGTAAATGACTATATGAAATAATATGGGTTTAAAGACCACTTAATTGTGGAGGAGTTGTGACTGCGTTTAGTTTAACTAGACTGCTTATGTATTCGAAAAGAAATCAAGTCAGTCGTAGTTCATGAAAAAATTTTATTTAGGAATGTGATTGTGTCCAGGGTAGATGCTGGACTGCTTACGTATCCAAAAATAGAATCAAGTTGGAAGTAGTTTGAATTTTAAGAATTTAATTGAATGTGATTTGGAATTTCGACTGTGCCCAGGGTAGTTGCTGAATTGCCTACGTATCCAAAAAATGGAATCATGTCGAACGTAGTTCAGCTTTTAGGAATTTAATTGAAGGTGATTTGGAATTTATTTGAAGTTAATTTGGACTTGCGACTGCACCTAGTTTAACTAGACTGCCTACGTATCCGAAAGGGAATCCAGTCAAAAGTAGTTTAGAATAAGAAATTGAAATCTATTTAAAGTTAATTTTTACTTGCGACTACGTCTAGTTTAGCTAGTCTGCCTACGTATTCGAAAGGGAATGAAGTCAGCCATAGTTCGGAGGTTTTGAAATTTATTTAGGAATGCGATTGTGCCAAGTGTAGATGCTGAATTGCCTACGTATCCAGAAATGGAATCAAATCAGACGTAGTTCGAAAAATTAACTTGGAATTTATTTGAATGAGCTTTTAAATGAGTGAAAGACTCATTTAATTTGAAATTTTACTTGATTTGATTTGAAAGGGGTGAGTGCCCCAAAAATTGGAATTGAATTTATTTTGATTTGAAATGGGTGAATGACCCATTGCGACTGCACTTTGGTTTTAAAAAGAACTTTTGACATGTATGAGTTTTTTTGTTTTTGATTTCACACACATCCTGGTGGCACCTGCTTGAAAAGCGGAATACTTGAAATTAGTTGGTTAGTTTATCAACCTTCAAGTGGATAGATTCACTTTTGTATATATTTTTTATCATGCGTGGGCATGCCGAAAATGAGTTTGACACAAACTCGGTTAACAGAATGAAGCTACCTAAATGAAGACTCTTCGTCTCAGTTTTATGGGTTTCTTAAAGAATTCAAACTTGTTTGAGTCTTGAAATTTTTGTAGTGCTGCAAGGACTTAGGAACTCCTTTAGTCGGCTTCTTAAAATTTTCTACAACAAATTAAAATAGCATAATTTCATGCTGCAAAACCATTGGAAAAGAGGGTTGGAACTTTGGGAGCCTTGCAAGGTCTTTGTTGTAGCCGTGTAGTGAACTGCCAAAACCAAAGGAAATAAGAGGAGTTAAAAACTCCAATTATTTCAAAAGACTCACATTTTCTTTATTCTTTTAAGTTGTACATCACTAGGAATTGCAATTGGCATACAACTTTCGAATTTAGTTTTATGCTTTCTGGTTCCTTCCAAATAATATTCATGTCCTTGCCTGCACCCAAAGGAGTCAAAAGACTCCATGTTATGATTATCATATCCTTCTAGAAGAGCTAAAATACTTGTGGAGTCAAAGACTCCAAAATTTTCTAGGAGTTAGAAACTCCATAATAGTTGTGCAGAGACTAAGACTCTTGATTTCAACAAAAATGAGCCCTTCGATTTATTAAGGAATCAAAGATTCCAAGTTTATTCTCAAGAGAGTTAGAAACTCTTTTATATGATTTTAGGACAACCAAGACTTGACAAAAGAGTCCAAGGTTCTCGAGAATGAACTGAAGGGGGGTTTGAAACTCCATTCAAAGAAACCAGTTTCTGTTTGTGCT